ACAAAATGATAAGATTGTAAAATTGCATATAAGAAATAGAGATGTGGTTCAGAATTTCTAAGATTTTTGTTTCTCTGAAACACGAGCTCATGCCCATTATGTGAAGTTGTGCTCATTTAAGGCAGTGAGTAATGCTGCTTGACCTCAATCTTGGCTGTAAGTGGGTTGGAATTGGTCAATAACTTGGCATTCCCATACCAGTGGAACACTTAGATTTATCCACATGAGACCTCCATAAAATTGTAGGAATACACGTTCAGCCTCTCCAGAACAGGCTTCACGTGCAGCCCCCTGCCCCTCCTCAGATGTACGGACCCCTTGAAGCAGGCGAGCCTGTGTTCTCACAGCAGGCAAACACTGCTCCATGAGTGCTTCCGCCACTGGGCTGGTTCCAAATAATACATTCAGAACCTTCAGATTTTGCCTTTCATTTGACAGCTTCAAGCTTTGCAAAGCTGAGATAACTTTTGTTATCCCCCTACTTTTCCTGCTTCTATTTTCCATGAGTAAGTGTAAGTGAAACATTATGCTTGCACACAAGTAAGGGAAAGTTTCATAGGGTTGTTAAAGGCTGGAAGGATTTTCACCATGATATTATAGTAAATTGTTTACTGTATGAGGTGACTCTATATTCTTTCACTTTTCCCCTTTTTATTCTCCCACTGCTTTTATTTAGGGGAGATTTTTTGAAATGAATTATTTCAAGCAAGACTAAGAATGGACAATTTAGTCTGTTAAAAAAAATCACTGTGGAGAACACATCTGAGGATTATAATCTTAGTATTTAGAAGTGTGGAGGAATGTAGTACAAAGCAAGTATTAATACAATGTCACGCAGAGTAGTAACAGCTTTTCTCTTTTTGCAGTATCTGAATCTTCTAATATATGTGGAATAAAGATAAATGGATATATTTCCTTTCTTGTATTCTTTTTTAAATATTAATTTCCATTGAAGGTGGCTTACATCTTCAGCAAGGCTTTTAGTAGTTCGGTTTAGAACTCATTGTAGATAAGCATTGGAAAAAAAATACAATAAACATTTGTGTTAATTATATCATTTCCTCCTACCCTTCTCCCCTGCACCATATGTTCTCTTCTCTGTATGGCTCTCAATTGACTTTTATTAGGGCTTGATATGTGTCAAATCAGAGACCCCAAAGTCTGTGCTGATGATGCAGTTGTGACCCTGTTTCTGCACCCTTTCCTAAGTGTAAATATACCTTGAGGTGGAAGAAGAGAACAGTAGGATTAATTCAGGTAGTTGTTATGCTTTGCCCTAGTCTGTAGCCTCTGCTTCAGCCTTAGTTTCATATCTCACATTATCCCTTGACCTGGATGTTTTGATTGTTTATTTGTGGGTTGGTTTGATTGTTTTTTGTTTTTCTTTCAATCCCTTGGTTATTTTCTTGGATGTGGTCCTCTGAAAAACCTTTGGGGATTCATCAAGTTTCTCTGCCCCTGTCTGTGACTTTCCATTAGAACATTTGAGTCACATATCCAAGTTTTATTTCTGCTTTCATAGGGAAAACAGCTTCTTTCATTTTCTGTGAGATACCAAAATGAACCATTGTGCTTGATCATCAAGGACACAGCAGAAAATTACTTGCCATTTTTTATCCCTTAAAAATGAGAGGCCAGGAGCAGGGAGATGAAACTTAATACACTTGGATGGGGAACCCTACTTCAGAGACCAGTGGCATGTAAGGAACTTACCTGCACTTTCTGCTGAGATGCACTTTGATTTCTGAATGTATATTTGCTATGTGCATAAATGCTTTCCTTCTCTGGTCAGTTATCTGTGCATACACTTTTCTAGTGGGACCAGAAATTATTCCAGATTCAGCAGTTGTTTATAACAGCATAAGGACATGATAGAAATGCCACATTACTTCCAAAAGAGAAATTCATTTCTATCTTTTGAAACTTGGCTTTCTGCAGCCTTTGCTCCAGGACATCAGAAGGCTGGAGCAAATAATGGAACACATTGCTCTATCCCCACTAAAAAGGACTGAAGCTCTCCAGCAGAACTTAGCACTTCTTTTTCCTGTGTTTTCCTTGGTCCTTCATTATGCAAACCCACTCAGGGAAAGTTTCTGCATCCTGATGGGAGCAACATGGGAGAAATGCTGACGTGAATTTGGAATCCGGTGTCACAGCTGCAGTGATCTGCATACCAGGAACAGTCAGCAGTGGTCAGGCCAGGACACAGCTGCAGACAGGTTGTGGAGTCACCCGTGGTGCTTTGTGGGTGTTATGGTTCAGGTTTGCTCTCCATTCACTGAATGGTCAGGAGGAGCTGATTTCCTGCATGGACAAACCCAGTGTGCACTAATGAAAGGTGCTGAAAGCACTCTGAGTATAATGTACACAAGTGTTTGTTAACACAAACAAGGATTGTTCTTTCAAGCAAAAAATTCTTTGAATTTAGTGAATTTAGTTTCTTAGACGAGCAATGGTACAAATACAATTTTTGTGTTAAACAAATGTGGGTGTCCAGTTTTGCACACAGCAGATGCATAAACTGTAGGTTTGATATAGTATTGAATGTATGATAAATGTAAACAAAGTCAAGGTTTGATGAATTACTTGATCATCTTTTCTTGCCAATAATTAGTGATGGGTTAAATCTTTGTTAAATTGTGCTGGCCTCTTGTACACAGGCATTTTGAGTGCTTTCAGAAAGCTTCCAGTAATGCTTTCAGAAATGAAGGTAACTGTTGTTTGCCATAAGGACACTGTGTTGGCTTGAAGCAGATAAGGATCTTTGTTAACATAAGAACTGTTTGAATCTCACAAAATGAGCTTATGAATTTACTGCCTGACAGTGTTCAGCATGTAAAAAGAAGTAAACAGCACAAGTATTGAGACATTCACTCATTTCTGTTTCATTCCTGGCTTTGGAAAGATATTATTGTTTATGTAATATGTTCAAAGGAGCACATAATTGATTATATACTGTTAGTCAGCCATGTGCATTTTTACATTTCTGCCTGTAGGTAAGCTGAACACCTGGTGACATGGCAGCATGTTTTAAACACTGCTTAGGAAATCCACAGTAACAGCACAGATAACAGGACTTTCCAAATGGTTCAGTAATACACAAAATAAATATTCCTTTTAAGCAATTTTTTCTTTATTGCCTTCATACAAAGGTATTAGTCCAGAGGGAAATGTGCTCTATTTACTGTTTGTGGTGGGGATGGCTGGTGGGTGGTGAAACTTGCAGGGTGCTGTGCTACTCTGTTCTGCACAGTTCCCCTGTTAGTCTTTCTATCTTTAAACTTCTCATTTCTTCTGAGAAAGCAGGAAGCTTTTGTCAGCTAGATATTGAATAGAGGTTTTGATATTTAAAGTGAACTGTTCAGTGCTCTTAGAGATGTTAATGTGGAAAGAAATACAGGTACTACATCTCGAGCTTCAAGACAGAAAATGTTAAGATAAGGACAGTGTACAAAGGCAGAGTGAATATTTTGAGGTGTTAATTCTAACTACAGAGGGAAGAAACTAGAATTCTGGAGCGGACACTGGAGCTATATTGTAGGATGCAAGGATGACTCAGCCCGTGCTCAGATCATGGTCTTGCCATACTTGTTTACATTAAAGTTCAGTTGCTATTTTAAGTCTGCACATTTAGTGGAGAAGAAGGTGAGAAAAAAGCAGAGGGAGAAGAATAAAAGCAAAAAGAGGGAGGGTACATTTTAAAACGCAACAACAACAAAAATACCTGGACCAATCCCTCCTGCTCCGTACGCTGCTCTCTCAGTGGAAGAGCTTGTAATCCTATATTTGCTATATCAAGAGGATTCTTCTATGAGCACAAATTAATAATTTATTCATAGGCTGGAGTCAGCCCGCATTGATTTACTTATGCTGCATTTCTTTTCATTCATAAGCCTTTGCCGGTCCCGAGCTCTCGGAGAGTGACTTGCTGCAGTGCTCCGGCGTGGGAGGAAGCAGCAAAGGCGCCTTTATGCACAAGGACGTGCTCCCTCCGGCTCGATTCCATGTGGGAGCCTGACCGAGAGCCGGGGCTGGCCCCGGGAAGCCGCTGCCGGGCGATGCTCCCCGGGCAGGCACCGCCGCTCCGCTCCCTGCGCCCGGTGCGGCGCCGCGGCCGGGATGCTCCGGGCACCGCGCGGCGCTGAGCTCCGAGCAGCCTTCGCCTCTCCGGGCCGTGTGACAGACAGACTGACAGACAGGTGCTCGTCACGCAGCCGTGCCCTGCCTGAATCGCTCTCCGGTGGGTGTGCGCGGCCCCACGCCCCCGCCCCTGCCAGCCCTGCCGAGCCCTCCCAAGCTCAGCCCCCGGCAATGTGCAGCGCTCTCTCCTCGCCTTCCTGGAAGGGCTCAACTCCACTTTCAGCTCCTCCAGACTTTCTCTGCTTTTGCCGTACCCTCCCTCTGGTCCAGCTCCTCCCGTGCCTGCCTTTCTGTGTCGGCGCTATCCCGTTAAAAGGCTGCTGCTCCTGCTCCTCCGAACCACTGCTCGGGCTGCCTTGATCTGGGATGAAGGCTGGAGGTTATCGGCGAGGGAAAGGAGAACTCTAGGCAGCTTTCCATTTGCAAAGTGAGCAGTAATTGCAAGAAGACAGCCTCCCCAGCTGGAATCAATAGTCTGCTTTCTTGCTGCTAAGGGCACTTTGGAGCAGCAGTAGGTCACTGAAGTAACTTCAGCACACTGCTGACTGCGGAGTTGTAAAGAACTACATGCAAGTGGCTGCAGTAGTGCTGGAAAACGCTTTGCTGTTACCAGGGACACAATAGTTTTCAAGTCATTAGAGCTTCGATTCTGGTCCGCTCCTTCCATTACACAGAGAGGGTCATTCTTTGGAGGAATGAGGATGGAGCTGTGAATTTTTATTTTCCGGTGTTCCAGTGTCCCCTTCTAGTGGAAGGGGGTAAGAGTGGGGGAAAAGAAGCTTTTAGAAACAAACCCCCACTGCTGCTTAACTCAGCTTCACTTGAATTTCCCCAAACCTTTCCAGGCACAGAGAGGCACAATGCCAGAGAACCTGAATCTTCTTCGGGCTTTTGGGGGCTTTTTCTTTATCTTCTGGACAGCTTTTAACACAGCCTTAGTGGATGTGGTTGGATCGGAGCAGCAGATCCCCTTGTCAGTGTAAGTGCTTTCGTGCTATTCCTCTCAGGACCATGCTCAAGGATGAGAACTTGGCTGCTCAAGTTCTCCTGTTTTTGTATTGCAGATATTTGGCTGGTTCAGGGCACCTTAGCTCCTCTGTCAGCTGTGTTTAAAGTGGTTGTCTCCAAGACGCTTGGCACTCTGATTTTATTGTAGGAGCATGTGTTGGTGGAGTATGTGGCCACTGAGTTTTAAGTGCTTGTATTTACTGAAACTGATGCAGTTAACACTTTCTCATGTGGGAATTTATCATTCAGAACTGTTTTGCCATTTTATCTGCTCTTTTCCTTTCAATGGATATATGTCATGTTGTGCCAAAGCACGTTTCTGTACAAGTTAATTCCTTAAATTTTAATGGTTCGGGTCGGTAGTTTCATATCAGAGGCCTTACCTTAGCACAGGGTCTGGTTTGTGCTTATACTTGTACAGCTTCTCTGATCTTTTGCTGTGCTCAGGTTCCTTAGTGAGCTCTCTAATGCAAAATTGCTCGTATCCTTCTGAGTGCAGCTGAAGCTGTTACAGTCTCTGTTGCTAGCTCTGACATGTGTATTACATTTCTTCCTGTCTCATTTTTTTCTTCACAGTGTAAAGCTCTGGGCCTCAGCATTTGGTGGAGAGATCAAATCTATTGCAGCCAAATACTCAGGTTCCCAGCTCCTACAGAAGGTAAGGATTTCTTTGGTTGTAATAAGGAGGGTTTTAAGAGAGAAAATGGAGGCAGATTTAATTTTTTAAATGAACAGGAAAGCAGTGCTGTGCATGCTTTTGTCCAAGATCTATTTTTGTATTGCATACTAGTCCCTGATGACTCTTTGCATCGCACTGCACTATCTGTAGAGTCCTTGCTTAACCTGATATTTTTCTGTTGGAATGACTTTTTTTTTCCATTGGAAAGTAAACTCCAACACTTATTTCTTGTAGCCTAGGCTTCAGCCCAGGTTGCGGGTGTTTAGTCTGGTTGCTGCATTGTGATGATGATGATGTTTCTGTGCAGAAACAGCTGTTTCTTATCAAAGATGCTAACTTCATTCAAGGAGCAGAATTAGTGCATATTGTATGATTTTCACCCTGGGCTCTATGTACACAATGCACTGTATCAGGAGAAGGCGGCTGCACTGTTGTTTGTCATCTCTGCAGTTTTTACAATGCCATTATTCCCCCAATCATCTTAACCCAGTGCTGAGATGTATTACATCATTACAGATAAGAGGAATGAATGTGGTTATCTTCTTGCTCAGCTGCACAGCTGGGTAATAAGGTGGTGAAGTATAGCAAAAACTTGAGAAATTGGTGTAAGTCTACATAATTGGGACAGAGGGTAATGAAAAAGCAGATTTGAGTATTAGGTATAAATCAAGGACTCTGTTTAATTTAAATCTGCAACCTATAGTAAACTTCTGTATCGTGGACAGTTTATTTTTACAACAGTTGCAAAAAAAAATGAGAAAAATGAGAGACTAAGAGGAATATGTTAGACTGAGACTGCTATTTTTGGGCATTTAACATCTGATTCTCAAAATGCAATATGTAAATGGGAAAACATTGAGACATCCACTGATCAAAAAACACTCATTCAACCCATATATTGAATTTCTGCTGAATTTTTGTAGACATGATTTTTAGTTCTGAGTAACACTAATTTTATTTTTTGTCTGATTGCGAAGGAAATTATTCCTTGAGCTTTTAGCATTTATTTCAAAAGGCTTATATATGTGTGAAATTATATAACTGTGCGTGCAGCAGCTGAAATAAAAAGCTTGTGCTATCCTTTAAAATGAAAGTAAGTGGCTTTAGTAATTACTAAAGACATATGAGTTCTTTAGGAGGTTGTCTTTTCAGATCTGTATACCCAGGACTGTAGAACACGAATTTCACTAAGCGAAAATACTGAGCTATGAAGAACCAAAATATTTGCGGTCTCTTACTGCCTTTCAAGGCCTTTAAATGGCTTCACTTCAATATGCTGGGCAAACTTTAATTTTATTGTGAAAATCTGGCCATTCAATATTTATTATACTTCCAGCTCACATTCTTTAAAGTCTGTGTAGTCTTACACTGTCACTGTTATTTACGAACACCTCAAATTCATAAAGAAGATGGAGCTTCCATTTTTGATTAGTTTGTAATCAAGTGTTATTAAAAAGTGGTTTTTTTTTTTTATTGGGCCATAACAAACAAGTATCTTTATTTAACTTTGGAGCTCTTCCATGTGCAGCCATTTCTGCGCAAAAATGGCTTTGGAAATGAAACGTGCCCAGTCCCGAGCCCAACGTTTGCTAGGAGAATATGAATGTACCCTGTGTGGCAATCATGCTAAAACCCACAAAGAGTCAGTATGGAATCCTTAATCCTCCTTCTCTTCCTCATAGTAGATGCTGCTGTCATCCCTTCTGTGATGTATTTTTTCCCTCTGAAGTAGCAAGATTGGTTCCTATTGGTTGTTATAATTGTAGGTAATTGGAAGCTATTCATTTTACCTTTTCATCAGCATCCTTTCTCTTTCACTAACCAGTCTGTGCTCCTGTTTTTGAAGGTGGACAGTTTGTGTTCTTTCAAAGCTATTTTGTTTTTCTTTCTTGCTTGTATTATATTTCCTTATTTAATGAAAGAGAAAAGAAAAAAAAAGCAGGTTTGGCAGGTATTTAGAGCATTTATTCCTCTGTCACATGTATTGTTTTTTTCTTTTTTTCTTCCTTCTGGTTACAGTAGTTTTTAAAAGATGTCTGTTGCTTTTTCTTTTATTTAGAATTCTAAAATGTCTCTGTCCATTTAAGCTTGCTGTGTTCTGGTGTTGATTGTGGCAAATGAGCCTGGATGACAGATGACTTTAGCATGTACTTTTTTGTATGGTTATAAAGTATATTTTTTCTATAAGCTTGTGTGAATAGAAACATACCAAACTTCAAGGTCTGGAAGTATTTTCAACATGCAAAGTCAGTGACAGAGGTTGTCACAACAGTTAAGGAGGTGATAGCACAGGAGGGCTCTAAATACAAATGCCTTTTTTTCCCACCCCCTCCCTCCCCACTAGCCAGGCATCAAGAATATGTTTGGTATTTACTGTGAGCTCTGGGTGATCAGAATCCATGTCATTTTAAAGTCAAGATTCCACTTTTAGAAGCAGTGATACTTCTGATATTACCAGAGGAGCCCACATTTCCTGATTATGAATTAAGCATCCTTAAACAAGTGAAGATATAAAAATGTGTGTATGATTATGGATCTGGACAGTATAGATTCCTCAACTGTCAACTGCTTTGGAGTGCCATTTAGCTTAATACAGGCTTGCTAAATGAAAAATTAATGTAAAGGTTACTTGATTCATTCTGTCAGCACACACACTGTGTGCTGCTTTCAAAGGGATGCACTCACAGTCGTGATTGACAGTCTCTGCTGCCCAAATGTTTTGCACATTGAGTCATTTGACCCACACTAAAATTTCATTGAGCAAATTAATTTGTGTGAGATACTCAGTAAAGAAATTTTTTTGCCAGTTTACAGTTGTGAATATTGATGGAGTTATTGCAATTCTTAAGGTCTTGCTGTACTGTGAACATCAAATACGTGACCAGCACTGGTGTTCTCTTGAGCTGGTAAAAAATGTATAAGAATATTTTGGTTGCTTTTTGAAAGTATATTTTTAAATCCACTGCTTCCCATATTTTAATTGAATGTTTCATTATTTTATGTCATTGTGATAATCTTATCCAAGTATTTTTTTATGCCTCCTAGACTTATGACTTTTCCTTTATGACTTTTCCCAAAACTGACTTTAGATGAAATACAGATGCTTCAAATTGCTTGGAAAATAATAGTTCAGTAAGTAATTTTAGAAATTATGATGAGGGTTTAAACAAAATTAGCACTTAAAAAATGTGCTACGACTTGCTTTCAAAGAGATGGAACACCATTGAGTGTAAAATAAAACATCCAGTAGTAAACAGGACTGTATTATTCCTAGTTTGTCTGGTTTCTGGAGGCTTTACAGTTGTCATATAGATTTGGAGAGACTCCTTGATGCTCTAGAGATGTTCATACTCTTCACTTATTTAGCAAATACTACTAGGGCCCAAGAATTAATTTTAATTCTCTCTTAGGTGTTGTTTCTTTTCCTTAGACTGTCAAAAGATATCTGCCTTATTTGAGTCCTGACATTTTCAATTTTTTTTCTTTTGTAAACACTCTGAGTTTTGTGGGTCCTGTACTGAACGTGAGAGCACGGCCCACTGGCAAAGCCAGGCTTCAAATATGGGATGCAAAGCAAGGCTTAGGTGCCAGGAACACATTCACTTCAGCTGCTGCAATTAGAGTTTTGGAAAACAGGCTTTGGGGAATGCTGTTGTAATACAGTAAAGCTCTTAAATCAGTGCAGTGTCTGTGTGAAAGTGCAGCATGGTCTGTGCTTTCTCAGGTTCCTTTTGATGAGACTCTTTAAAAAAAATATTCTGAGCTTTGATAATTCTTCATTTCTTCCTGAATTGTCAATATTATTTACTGCAAGTGTAGGAAGGGTAAAAATACCCTTAATTTCTTGGTCCTTCCACAAGGGTTTTTTCCTGACCAGAAGCTTGTTTCAGGCTCCCTGAGATGTTCCTTATGTAAGTTGTCTGCTGGAGCCCTCAGTGTTATGTAAGCCCTGCCTGCCTTGCTCTGAAGCAGGCTGGAGTCTGCATCTGCCTGCTCCTTTCAGCAAATCCTTCATTGTGCTGGGAGCTCTCAAATCATTGTTTTCTCAGAGAAGGTTTTTCAGTCAGGAGAGCATTCCTGTTTTTAAAGATGCAGAATTGCATTTTATCTCCCTGACAAGGATGGGGTGCTGTATCTTAGGAGTTTCTTGCAACTGTGGAAATGTCAGTGCAAAATTAATACAACGGGGTGATTTAGATCAATTAGCATTCAGCTGGTGGATCTGATTCATACAGTACATCTATCTTTAGTTTAAATTGTATAATAGGGACTTAAATTCTTAGGCAAGTTTAGTACAATCATCTTGACATTAATTGCCTTTCTTTTATTCAGCCTTATGTTGGTTTTGGTTTTTGTAGGCTGTTTCTTTGCTCAAGACACTGAAACTACTGCTTGGAAGGAAGGGTCAAGCAGGACTGAGACCTGCAGGTTAAAGGATGGTCATGGACTGACTTTTTGGATGTCAATTTAAACTTTTGCCAGTTGAGCAATTCTAAAACAGGAAAAAAAAATCAAAAAATAGGGAAAATTATCAATAAAATCTGTAGACATATGGCTGTGAATCAAAAAGTACAAAAACCCCATCAAAGGAAATATCACTATCCCCAAAGCCCAAAAACCAAACCAACAGCAACAACCCACCCACCAAACCTGACACCTATCCCAAAGCCCAAATTCAAAACCCCACCAGCCAATTAAATGGTGGAGAGCTTACCAAAAACTCTATTCAGAGTTAATTCATTATAATTTGGACTCCTGAAGTCTGGTTTATATAAAATGTGTCTCTCAGTACTGACTTAAAATCAAACCTTAGAAAATAAAATAAATATACACCTGAGAATTTTACACCAGTGTAATTCTGTTGATTAATGCAAATGATGTTTTGGAACTTGCAGAACTTGAATCTCCGTCCCCTTTAATTCCTGCATCTTTGGGCTACATGAACAATGAGATTATTCTCCATGCCTAGGTACAGAACT